ACCTTGAATTAAAATTTATAAAGTGATGAAATGGTTGTGGATCTCAGGACCATGGGAGGATGCTAATGGTTGGCTTTGCGTGCTGAATTTGATAAGGCCTTTTATGCTACCATCAGTATTCTTTTTTGTGGAATTTATAGATCGACTGTAGCGAATTTATTAAGGAATGTGTAATTCTTTTCCTTAGTCAACTCAGAAAGGAATTATATTTGCTCTACACCTTGTTCGTTAATTCATTTCAAAAGGTAAGGAACATATTTCTGCTTAAGACTTTAAACTAGTAGGATAGCAGATAATTAAAAACTGTCTCTATAATGACTAATGTTAAATTGGTCTGTTTTATAACTTTCCCTTTCTCACCCATCCTTTTCGCTGCTAATATTGAAGGAATCCCTTCTGGGATAAAATCATGGAGCTTGATTTGCCGAAAAGAACAGTCCCACATGTTGTTCTTTATATGGAATATGAGTTAAATTTCACTGTTTTAAAGTAAAAACAAACAAACTAAATACCCTACAGGATTCAATCCTGTGAAGTTTGGGGAGCCTCACGGCTGAATGGAACCCTGTCTTACACCCACACACACCCACACACCCACACCAATATTAGCAGATACCCATGCAAGCAGCATGATGGATATCCCTTGTAATGTCCAAGACTATGGCTTCGTGATGGAGCACACAGCATAGGTCTCCAACATCTTCTAGAAAAGACTCCTGAAGAGCTGCTGCAAGTCAGTGTAGGCAATATTGAGCTCAATGGACCAATGATCTGATTCTATAGGCTATGGATTGTAAGGCAGCAATAGAGGACCTACTTAGCATTCAGATGATTCCAGGTTTAATCACTGGCATCTCCAGAAAATACTTGAAAGCCTCTTAGAGATTGTTGCCAGTCCCTGTAGGCCAGGCATGGCCAAACTTGGCCCTCCAGCTGTTTTGGGACTACAACTCCCATCATCCCTAGCTAACAGGACCAGTGGTCATGGATTATGGGAACTGTAGTCCCAAAACAGCTGGACGGCCAAGTTTGGCCATGCCTGCTGTAGGCAGTGCTCAGCACAGGTGCCAACTTGAACAAAATATTGGGCGCCCCCTGCCCACACTTCTCCTCCGCTCCCTGCACTTCTGTAGAGTGCACCTTCCTCCACTGGGCACAACTGGGCACAGGACTCCTCTTCTCTAACACCCACTTGCCTCTTGTGCAAGAAGTTTTGGCCTGCTTGCCTGCCTCACTCTTCCAACCCCACCTGCTGCCCACTCCCTGCTCCTCCCAGCCTGCCAGCCTGCCTCTCTCCAGCTGCCCTGGCTCAAAATGTTGCCAAAAGCCAGGAGACAAACGAGGAAAAGAGGGTGGCATCTGGGTGGGTGGGACAAGGTGGCTGCCCAAGGGAGAGAGGAAAGGAAGGAGGGAGGTGCTAGCTTGCAGAAGATACAGTATGGGGGCATTCCCACTAAATATTTTATTGGGGAGCCCAAAGGGACCGGGGCCCCATAAAGTTGGCACCTATGGTAGTTAGCTAGATGGACCAATATAAAGCAGCTATCTCTTTGTGGCGTGTGTGCTGGTGCTCTTGGGATGAACCAGTTGGGGAGAATTGGGCTCTGTTGAGCCTAGTGGGACTTGTCCATGTGTGATTGACCAGATCAAGACCTTATATTTAAGAAAGATAGTGATAATTACTCATGCATAATGATATAACAGCCATCACCACCATACTTTTTTCTTTTTGTTTTAGGCATATGCCTTATCACTGTTAGAAACTGATTATGTTGGCCTTTGTCCGACATAGCAAACAACTTCTTATGTTTGCATCTTACCTGGTACAGTTTTGAGCCAGATTGGAAAGGAATAAGAAACAATGATCTGCTGTAACTTACCATGTAGTGATTAGTGCTAAAAACCTGAATGTTAACACTAACTTATTGATTATGTTTTGGATTGGTGCTAAAAATTATCAAACTTTTGAGATCATTCTTTGCAAAATCCTCAAACCAAAACGGATTTGTTGGATATATGCAGAAGAGTGCACTGTTTTTCTACTGCCATTAAAAATTAGTTATTTTAATTCTCTTATTTGGTGATTTGCTGCGCAAATGAACAGCTTTTAAGTTTTTCGTTAAATGATAGATCACTCATCCTTTAGTTTCTGCGAATTACAGTTGGAGTCAAAATATAAATCTGGGAATAAAACCTCTCTTTTCATTTAGGTGTCTCTTTTGCACGTGTGGAACAAATGTGGCAATAACTATATTCTAATTTTAAAGTATATAATAAATGCATGATCTGCTTTACAAGCAGAGCTTAGATTTATTTTCATATTAAAATAAATCAGCAGACAACCAAAAGGGCACAACTTAGGGCATATTCGTTTTAGCTAAAGTGAATTCAGACCTTGTTTTTTAAACATAAAAATGTCCATTCAGAAGCATTTGTATGTTCTATACTTAAAATATGTGTGGTTAAGATGGAATAGATATCATAGCTTTCTTACTTGAGTTGAAAACAAAAGGCAGTGGGCATACCCCTAAACTGGGAAAGTATTGCTTTTTGATACATTTTTGATACGCCTTGCGTTGTAGCTGTACTAGATTCTAGACATTAGAATAAAGGGAAAGTATTCTTCCAGTGGGACAAAAGACCAAAAACAAATCTCTATAGGGTTTGGCCCCATGGTGGACTAGAGAGCAGTTTACTGTGATGGTAAGCTTTTGGAATATGTACATAGTGAGAACTGAACAGGAACACTCCATACTGTTAGCATTTTGTTGCAAACTCCATTGTTGTGTTTTTCTCTAATGCACATTTTAACACATTATGTACCCCTCAACTTTCCCACTTTAAGTGGGACACCCTGGAAACACAGAAGCCATCCCAGCTTCTGACTGGATCCCAGAATATCCTGTTTTTGCTCCTGTAAGAGTACGGGCCCAAAAAGACATGCGTCCCGATTTTTCTCTGCATCATGTTCGAGGGTATGACATTAACATTAATATGCAATAGTTTTGAAAGCCAGTCTTCTACAATTGGTATATTATTTTTCATTTCTTCATTATGTGTGTACAGTTAATAACATATTCCCCACTAATTCTCCTCCTCCCTTGTACGTAGTCTTTAATCCATTTTAATAATATAATTTGTGGCACAATTGCTAGTTTATCCCCCCATTATTTCCTGTGTTGTTCTAATAATACCCAGCCAAATAAACTTACATACCCATCAAATGTACATAAAATTAGTTTTTTGAAATCAAACCTGTATTCCTACCCATATCACACTGCAGAATGAAATATTTAAAGCTTAGCATATATTATTGCAGAGACTTTTTTTCTAAACTCAAGTTCCACAGGTCTAAATTAAAATATATCATCCTTTCCAACAAATGTTTTTCGAAGCAGGAAAAAACCCCACTTGGTTTTTTAAAAAAGAACTTTCGATCATTTTTGTGCCATCCCTTTTACTTTTAGTGCATCTCTGTTATAAATTAACACATTATAAAGAGCTGCCATAACAATTTCTCAGCGATTTAACTCAAGTGACCTCCTGTAGATCAGATCGTAGGCAAAAAAATAGCTTCATAGACCTCATGCAGTTTCTGTTGATATCCCTTAAAAATAATTCTGTTGATATCTCTTTAAATGCAGCAAATGCACTCTTCCCTCTCTCAGCAAACCTGCTCTGTCTAAGGCATTATTGCCATCCACCCAATTCCATTCAGCTTTCTGGCAATTCCACCTCCTAGCTCATGGACAAGGAATCTGTGTTGTTAGACTACAGTCACTCCTGGCTGTTGACTATGCTGGCTGGGGCTGGCAGGAACTGAAGCTCAGCAACATCTAGAAAACCACCAGATTTCCTCTCCTAGCCTTTCTTGTTTGGTGCAGGCAACATATTAGTGGACAGCTGAGAAACCATGGAGAAGGGATGGGTTATCCTCACAAGTACTGATCTTACATACACCTCCTGTGTGTGTGTGTGTGTGTGTGGTTTATACATGACTAGGCTTAGTGATGAAGTCAGGTATATTTCAGAGACTGGACCAGGGCACATTATGTTACTAATTCACATCACAAGCTCACTGTCCACAGATATGTCACATGCACAGGGTGAATGTTCTTGCCTTTTCTATCCATTTATACTGGCATTGGGCTAGATTGGGCATGATATGATCTGGAGAGCTGTTTTAATTTATACACCAGTTTAAAGTCATTGAGAACTGCAAGTTATATGCACGAAATATGGCAAGTGGGAATCAATGGCAGAGCCTTTTTATGTGTGGCACTCAAGCTCAGCAACAAACTCACAAGGGAGCTCTGTGCAGCTGCCCAACGACTTGGTTTTTGATTAGCAGTGAAAATACTTTTATTTCAGTGAGCTTTTGTAGATTATCATCTCTGGGCTGCCTTTTATGCTGCTTCCACTTTTTTTTTAGGCTTGCTGTGTGGTTTTATTAGTATATTTGTTCTTCATTATGCTTTGCTGCTTTAACACTGAGCACATTTATTTATTTATTTAATTCCCATCCCCTAAAATTATTATACCACTAGACTGTAAAAAAACAAAAACAAAAAACACCCACCCTCAAAATGGTTTATGAAAAGCATGCACCACCTTGTGCATTTGTTAGAAAGCTGGGAATAAAAAAAATAATGAAATTTCAATAAAATATGTGAGATAAGCGCTGAGAAGGTAAGTCGCAAAATATGGAAAACAAAATGAGTATTGCAGATCTGGAATAGAGTTTAAAATTCCAACATATGGGATTGGAAATTAAACTAGGTTACTTTTTAGAAATCTGCACGCCCTCAGACTACACAGAGGGCCGAATGGGCTTTTTTAGGGAGATGCAAATGACAGCAGGAGGGAAAAGGATATGGTTGATATTCTTTCCATAAACTTTTTAAAAATCTTAGTATCCAAGCCAATGAATTTTGATTTCTTTTTACAAGGTACACATATCTCCTAGATTTACCTGTTTCTGTTTATCTATTTCTCTACAGATAAAAGGAGAATAGGCACAGAACCATTTTGCTGGAAAATCACCAGAATGTGCTGAGCGTTTTCAAGGATATGGTATGTAAACAATGCCTCACTATTTGTTGAATTTAGGATTAGGATGGAAGTTTTTATTTGCAGACTTTTGTTTTCAAATTTTAGGGGACGGGGGCAAAAAGAGAAAGAAGTTTGGGGGGAGGTGTTAGAAACAGGTTTAAAATTTGGTGCAACAGCCATGATAAGTCCTCTACCACCCCCTTACATTATTTTGAACTTATTTAAGATTGGCTCTCTACTGGTGTGGTCACATAGTATCACAGAATTGTAGAGATCTTGCACAATCTGGGTATGGCACCCAGTTTGTTTTGCTGACACTCTTATTTTCAACTCGCTGTGGGGTGAGCTGAACAAATCTCTTTCTGCATCAGCTGCCTATTTTCTAAAAGGGTAAATCTGTTTGCTGCAGACTAATTTAAAAGTTAGTAGACTGCTTTTCCTGGGCTGTATTTTGTGCTGTTCTTGCAGAGACATGAGGGATGAATATGTCCTTTTCAAAATGACTGCTGCAGATTCTCTTAGTGTTTTGCAGAGTAGAGGCTGCTTCCTCCAAGTTATCTTTCTGGCTTTGTAAAGGGATGTCCTCTATTAGCTGCATTCATGCACAAAGCCCTTTGTCTAGAATTCCAAGCACCAGTCTTTAAGATGTACTTTTTGTCTGTAAAATCGCAATATTTTTAGCCTGTTCTGTCAAAGACAGTGGCCCCACCTAGGGGACAGGATTCTAGCCCAAGTCAGGTGTGTGTGTGTGTTTGTGTGTTTGTGTGTGTGTGTGTGTGTGTGTGTACCTGGTAGGCACAGCATCCAGCCACACTTGGCCACATACCACTAATACCAATTCAAAACCCAGGAAGCAAAGGTCAAGTCAAGCAAAGGTAAGATTCCAGCCACTCAACCTCAGACAAAGGAAAGTTTAGGTCCAGATAGGTGAGAAAGAGTACATGTGTTTGAGGGATGGAGGGAGAGATAAGTATAGATATACAGTATTGTTGTACCAGAAGCAAAACATTTTTTTTAAAATGCTGTTAGCAGCTGAAAAATAATTGCTGCTCTTGAATTTGCTTCTGAAGCAAACAGCATCATGCCCCTTCATGCTGGGGATGATCTTGATAATACGATCTCCAATCAATTGATAGGTGACGAATTATTATTATTATTATTACTGTGTTATTATTATTATTATTATTATTAGTTATTAAGTTTCTATATTGCCCTTCATCTGAGGATCATAACTCACTATGGCCCCCCCAAACAGCTTATTAAAAACCCCTCCTCCATGTTTCAGATGCAATTTGGAGATTCAGTGGGAGCTCCACTGCAAAGAAAAGAACTGTATTTTATGTGCAGTATTTTTGGATATCATCCCTCTTAACAGTTTGGGGTTTTAGTGGGAGTTATTGAACAGGAAATTCACAGAATAACTTTTGATGCACACATATTTCAATAGTACATGTATAAACCTCTGGATCACAGCCAGTGCTAAAGTGCTTGGGAATTTCAAAAGCTAGCCAGCAACAGACTTATCTTCTCCTAGTAAATGCCCATGTTTAACTAAATACTTATCTGCTGTGTTTATTGAATTTGAATATACACATGGAAATATGAAGGGATGCTGAAGAAAAGGGAGATTAAAATGGTTTCAATTTATTAACTTTGAAACGGATAGGCGTTTGTGTGGCAAAGGCACTAGCAAAATAAATAAACATCAGTGCCGCAGTCCTTAGATCAGGAAGGAAGGAAGAAGGGTCTTTGAAGGGAAGAGGAGTTTGGGAAAAGGAATGTAGCTCAGTAATAGAGTCATTGTTTTGCATCAGAATGTCCCTGGTTCCATCCCTGCCATCTTGAGGTAGGTCTGGGAGACAACCCTATTGGAAAGAGGCTTTGTTAGCCAGTATAGACAATACTTGATGAATGACAGGGGTGTAGAAAGGGGGGTGCAGGGGGTGCAGTCTACCCCAGGTGTCGTCCCTGAGGGAGTGACAAAATGGCACACCGTGGGGGGAGGCACTTACTGTGGGGCCTGGCCTGCAGCACACCCGAGCCACGCATCTCTCCTGGGAGTGATGTGGTGGCTCGGGGTCCCGCGCTGCCCGAAATGGCAGTGTGGGGCTTGCATCCACCAGGCTGACTCTGTGGGCAGCTCACCGCAGCGCTCCCGTGGGCAGATCACCATGCTGCCTCCCTGGGCAGATTGCTGCGGTGCCCGCATGCGCAGATCGGCCCACCCCCATGGGCGACTCGCCCTGTCCCCACCACTCCGGGTGCCGGAGCAGCTAGCTACGCCCCTGATGTATGGTCTAGCTATCAGGAGTTCAGCCTACACTCGAGTAGGACCCTGATAGAGACACATGCCCAACTGGCATGTTCTCTCTGTCCTGGTCGATCATTCGGGAGCTTCATAAGCTTTCTTCAGCCCGAACATCACAGCAACCGATGCCAACCGACACCGGCACACTTAGGGATCTGCAGAGTTTGCACAGTTGCGCAACAGACCTCAGCAACTCAGCATTTTGGCTAATCTACTTTATTTACAATATAAACATATACGGAGCACTGCAACATGGCTCCTTCTCTCTCTAGCATCAGACAGCAAAGAGAAAAAGAACAAAGAACAATAGTCCCACTTCACGGAACACAGTAACACAAACATCCTGTCTTCGTCACTTCCCACTCTGTGGAGTCAAAACATACACCGTTATGTGATAGACAAAAATTCCATGACTGCAATCATAGATCAGGAATTCTAACACTAGCTCCATATAGGGCAGCCTCAAGTGCTCTTAAGTACAGTGGTACCTCGGGTTACATACGCTTCAGGTTACATATGCTTCAGGTTACAGACTGCTAACCCAGAAATAGTACCTCGGGTTAAGAACTTTGCTTCAGGATGAGAACAGAAATCGTGCTCCGGCAGCGCGGCAGCAGCGGGAGGCCCCATTAGCTAAAGTGGTGCTTCAGGTTAAGAACAGTTTCAGGTTAAGAACAGACTTCCAGAACGAATTAAGTACTTAACCCGAGGTAACACTGTACAGTAGAGCTCAGTATTCTTTCTTTTTCTTCAAAGACATAGATATTGTGGGAGTAGAGGGATGCTGTGCTCTCAATCAGTTTTTCAGGGACCATGATATTTTAACGGGGAGCCTCTTGGAATGCTATTTGCTACATACCTCATGACCCTCTCCTGTACACCCTTACCTAAGAAGTCCCATTGAATGTAATGGGACTTACTTCTGTGTAGACTTGCCTAGGACTGCAGCTCTAATAGATCCAAGAGTAATTTTTCAACACATTTATAAAGAAAATTATATTGGTTAAAGGCAAATAAGTGGGTTTGATGAATATACTTCTCCCTGGGGCAAGACTTTTTGCAAATATAATTTAATGTGTTTGTTTTCAATCCTGTAATTGGTGCGGTTGGGGAGCCAAATGCATCTCACCTATACTATGCATTCTGCAAGAAGTGTTTGTACAAAAATAGTTCTCAGGCACAGAAATGGTGAAAGATTTGCCTTAAATAACATGTTAAATATTGAATACATATATTGGCTTCCGGTCGGCGCCAGCGCTAATGGCGGTCCTTTTTCCGAGCTCCGGAAAAGGACTGCTCTGCGAGTTCGGGTCTGTCCCGCTACGGCAAGCGGGGGACCCCTAAAATCACAGGCGCGGAAGCCTGTGAACGAGGAGATTCGGTGGGCACCAGAAGCGCCCCCCCTTTACCGCAGAAAGAGCCTTTTTAAAGGCTCCGGAACGACATCGGGGGAGCGCGGTGCTGAGAATCGCTACCCAGCCCGCAGGGTGAAGCCGCGTCGCTATTAGCGGAGAGCGCCGATTCCTTCCTGTAAATTCTGGACAGAAAAAACCCGTGAGTAAAACGGAATCTTTATTTGGAACTAAAACCTGGAAATTTGGCTGAAAACGGGGAGGTGAAAATTAAGGAAGTCTGCCTTCCCCCGACTGCATGAAAGTGAAAGCAACGGAACTTAAAAGCTGCATCCATTAAAGACTTGACTTTTCTTTTTTAATCAAACCTGACATTTGGACTTTAGATCTCCCCTCTAGCTAGCAGGGCAGAGGGGAGGTAAGAGAGACTTTGGCAACTGCATAACTTAATTAAAAGAAAAACCCTCTTCTGCCTGAGCTGTTTAAGAGCATGAAACGGTCTGCCTTTTAGGGAAAGGACACTGAGCTGACTTTTCCTGTGAAAAGTTACACTGTGATACAAAGTTTTTGTACTGCCTGGATACAGTACATCAGAGCAAGCTGAGACAGTATCTGTTGGGAAATTGTGGCAATTTGCAGCCACAGTCTCTAGCTACATTTGCTTTATTCTTTCTTTCTCCTTTTCCTACGCACTTGGATATTCTCTTTGCCTTTGTACTTGGACATTCTATATTTGGCCATCTTGATTTGCTCCCCCTAGAGGGTAAGGAAGTTGGCACTGCCTAAGACAGTGGAATTTTCCAGTGGGGAACAGCTCCTGTGGGAAACGACCTTGACATGAGTGGCTCACAAGAAGAGATAGTCACAAGAGCCAAGACCAAACAACAACAACAGCACCAGCTGCAGCAACAACAACAACCAAAGAAAAGAGGCTCAATCACAGGGGCAACTGCGGGACTTGCAGTAACAACAGGACAAGAAAAAGTGACAGCTGTCTCTATGGAAGCTGTGACAGAGGCCCTGCTTAAGGTAAATCAATCCCTGGAGTCTCTGACAAAACAGACTTCAGAAAATACACAAAAATTAACAGAAATATCAGCAAGACTAGATCAGAACACAGAATCTATAAATAAATTGGTGGAGGAAAATTCCACTACACGTAAAATTGCTGAAGAAGCAAGAGCTATTGCTGGAGAGACACAGGAGAATTTGGAACCGATTGCTAAGAAGGTCCATGAGCACGACGCAACTTTGGCTCTGTGGGAATTGCAGAGAAAAGAGAGAAATTTGAAATTAAGACTGATACCGGAGAACGAAAGTGATAACCTTGCGGAGTTTTTAACACAGGAGTTTGCAGACTG